GCCCCCGCTGGGGCGACGTCGGCCGCCGCGTCGAGATCGACGATGGGATATCTCGACCGCCGCGCTGCCCCGCGCGGAGGCGGGCCTGGCGCGGTGCCAGGGCATCGCGACTACTGACTGCGTCATCGCGACTGGCATGTTCAACCTCGTGAGCTTGGATGCCACTCTGCCGACCTTCGCTGGCACCCACCTCTGCCATTTCCTCTCCGGCAGCGCGCAGGGCAGTTTGAGCTGCGCCCGCCGCCATGCTGGGCCAACTGCGACATCCTCGAGGCGGAGAGGGGCGTCGGCGTCATCAGCGAGATGAAGCGCGTCGCCGCCGCGGCGCTGGACCAGAAATCCCAGTGCAGCTCAGCACGCGCGCAGCATCAGGGCCCGTGGAGGCCGCTGCAGGTGCAACCGGCCGATGCTCCGCCACGCGCCCGCACCCGCTCGCGCGGCGCCAGCCCGCTGTAGCGACGCCGCGCGGCGCCCCCGCGACAGCCCTTGGAGCGGGCACATGCTCGCCGACGTCGGCCTGGCGGCGCAACTGCAGATTAGGGGCGGCGAACGGGGCGCGGCGCCGCATTGCCCAGCGCGCGCCAGCACATTGCCTTTGCTACATCATGACAGGACTCTCGCATGGACGGTTGCACGCGGGCGCGTCGACGCGCGCGGCGGTGCTTGTCCGAGGGCATCGCCGTCGGAGTCCCAGACTCATTCAACATGTTAGATCAGCAAGCGGGCTCACCGTCATCAGCCCGACAAGCCACGCATGACCACGCGGCTGTCGTGGTTGCATGCGACTCCACCTCATGGGCAAGGGTTGCCGGCCGCGCCAGCTCCACCGCGCGGCCGCCAGCTGCGCGGGCCCCGCCGGGCCTGCAACGGACCGATCGGAAATGCCCGTGTTCTATCTGCCGCAGCATCTTCTCCTGAACGTGGCGTGCAGCATGAGGGCGCGTGCGACTTGACAGCTACCGCCGCCTGCCGATGGGCATGGACCACTCTGACCCCGATGCGCCGCCAACAGGGCTCTCGGCCACGAAGCTACGGCGAGAACCGCGAGGGCGACCTGACCGCGCGCCCACTTCAGACCGCGTTCGACACGACCACCATCGAGAAGCTGTTCTCTGCCCTTAATGGCCTGCCAGGCTCCCCGCAACCTGCGCAGGCCCTCTTGTCTCGGAGTTGGACGGCGCCGCGTGGGCGCCGACATGAACGCCCTCGACGCGAGGCTTTGTCGGGCACGCGCCAGGCATGTGAGCGCCCGGATTCGGCGCTTCAGCGCCGCCTGCACTGCGACGCGCCGGCGCGACAGCACGCCGCCTTAGTGGTCAGCGCTGCGTTGCCGGCCACGCTTGCAGACTCGCCTGCATACGTCGCGGTGGCTTGGATCGTTGGCCATGCTGGAACAGCTACGAACAGCCGAGGTCGGCACCTGCCACACTCCGCTGCTGTCGGCTGCATCTGGACAGCACGAGACGCGCTGGTGCCGTTCGGCATTCGCCGGCCCAACACGCGGACCAGCCAACAGCTGCGATTGGTAAGCGCCAGCAGTGTCGAAACACATTGCCGCAAACAGCTGGACGAGGCGAGTCTGCGCGCCTGCGAAGCACGGCGTGCGGGGGCTCTCCAGCCTCGCTGCCGCACACGCGCAGCCGCGGCCAGCAAGGCCCGCTGGCACCTACGCACCAAAGAGCGCCGAAGGCAAGCGGCTTCGCCAGCAGCGTGAAGGCTGGAGAGCCAGGGAGCGAACTTGGCTGGAAGGTAAAACCAGCGCCGCGGCGTGAGCGCACGCCGAGCACGACCTGCGGTGGGTACCCGCGAGCAGCGCCCTGCTCCAGGCTGCTATGCGCCACCGGCCAGTGAGCAGAAACCAGTCGAAGAGTTCTTCAGTGGGCTCTCCTTGCTGCGGGGGGGCCCTTACGATCGAGCAACCCTGGCCACAGGCAGCGCATCACACGCATGCGCTGGTCATGGACGAGCACGCGTTGATTCCCAGGGTTCACCACGCCACCGTTCGGGCTGAGGTGTCTGGGTCATGGATGCGTCACACGTGGAAGCCAGCTGGTTGACGCAATTTGCAACGCGCGCAGCAATTGTTTCACCGCCTCTTTGTCTGATCGCGATCGTCCGTGACCTAAGCTTTCTGGAGAGATACGTTCAAGTGCCCTGCAGCTGTAACTCGAATAGAAAATGGGCGAGCCCCGCCGCCGCCGTTGTGTCTCACGGCTTTCGCGCGCGACCAGATACTAGATGGTAAGGAGAAGAGCACTTCTTACATCCAGTGCCGCCATGTCTATCACCACTCCCAGCCCCGCAATTCCACTTCCCCCCCCTATTCCTGTCACTCCTCCCCCTCGTTCTGGGGCGGGGAGTTATCCATCATCACCGCTTCGGGGCGCGGTTTCCGGGCACCTCGGCATGCGATGGATGTGGATACGTTCGGGCCCTTAGGGGCCAACATCTATCCAGATTCACCGCCCGTTGGGGTCCAAGGACGTCCGTTTCCCTGGCGGCGGATGTGGATCTGTCCCCGCCTCGCAGAGTCTAGGCCTCCTAGATCCGAGATTGGTCCGGAGCAGATGGCGCGAGGGGGTCGCCCCGCATCGCCGATGCATCGGCGAGGCCGCTCGATGTGTGCGGCGTCGCCGATGCATCGTTGATGCATCGGCGATGCCTCGGCGATGCGGCGCGATCCTGCGACCCGATCAGCTCGGACCCCGCTTGGGCAGCGTCTACAAGGGTCGTGCCCCCGCGGCCCCCAGCCAGGGCCGCCTGGATATCACTGGGTCCCGAGTGGGGGTCCTGGCTTTGGTTGGGGGGGGGGGCGGTCCCCGCCTCGCAGATGCCCTTTCGACGACAACGGCGGCGGCGACGACGACGACGACGACGACGACGACGACGACGATCGCGACGACGGCGGCGACGACGACGACGGCGACAGCGACAGCGACGACGACGACGACGACGACGACGACGACATCCCCGAACTCCGCGCACCAGAGATCCCCCCCGAGCCTATAAGGCCTCGGCCCTGTGGCCCGGCCTCCCAGCGCGGGCCGCGGACTTCTAGGCCTCTTAGATGGGGTCGGAGTAGATGGGGTCGGAGGAGCGCGCCGCATCGCCGATGCATCGGCGATGCGGCTCGATGTGCAGCCCGATTTGCTTCGCGTCGACGTCGCCGATGCATCGCCCGCGTCGACGATCGATCGCCCGTGCATCGCCGGTGCCTCGCCGATGCACTGCGGATGCATCGGCGATGCGGCGCGATCCACCGACCCCATCTGCTCCGACCCCATCCAGGAAGCCTCTAGGATCCCCACCTCGCCTCGCAGATGCCCTTTCGACGACAACGGCGGCGGCGACGACGACGACGACGACGGCGACGACGGCGACGACGGCGGAGACGACGGCGACGACGACGGCGACAGCGACAGCGACGACGACGACGACGACGACGACGACGACGACGACGACGACGACGACCCCAGCGACGAATTCCGCGCACCAGAGATCCCCGAGCCTATAAGGCCTCGGCCCTGTGGCCCGGCCTTCCTCGCAGAGGTCGTGCCCCCACGGCCCACCCGGCCGCCGCCGCGCGGGCCGCCGGGCGAGGGCGAGCCGATCCCGCCGCGGCCGTCGCGGGGGCCGCCGCGCGCGCCCGAGGGCCTCGCGGGGCTGCCGCCCCGTCCAGACCGGCCGCCGCCCCGGCCTGGTGCGCAGGAGGGCGCCTCCCTTCAGAATCGGGCTCGGACCTCGATCCCAGAGACCCGGCGTCTCGAAGATCACGACGGTGTTTTTTTTATTGTTTTCTCAGGAGGAAAAGAAACACACAGACACGATTAATCTTGGATTCCCCCGAAAATATGGGAAAATATGGGAAGCGGGGGGGGAAGACAGAAACCCAGAAAATATGAGAAAATATAGGGAATCTTTGTATTTGTGTGTATTTATTTGTGTGTTTGTGGGCCCCTTCATTCTCGGCCTCTCGAGGCCCTCGCCAGGCCTTGAGAGGCCGTCCAAGACCGACGCTCGGGATGGAGAACTGGCCCCCGGGAAGGGGCCGAGAGGTCGGGGGCCCCTGCCTCGAAAACGAGTCGAGCCACGCCGGATGCCTTGGGATCCGCGACACCGCTTCGGGACTGCACCGGCACAGCCGAATGCCAATGTCGAGTGATCTGGTGCAGATTTCGCCCGTCGACTGGTCTGGGCAGGCGTGCTCTCTCGAGGCCCGGCGCAAGCAGAGAGCAGCGCCAGCCATTTGCACGTGCTCTCGGCCCCCGGGAGGCCGGCTCTGAGCCCCGGGGCGGTGACAACGAGGGGGCGTCCTCCTGCAGGTGCAGGCAAGTCTCATTTGCTTTGCATTTCCCCCGCCCCTGATGGGCCTGTTTTCCACCACCTCCACCAGAAGTTGGAGGGGGGAAGGAGGAGGCCGAGGAGGAGGAGGAGGAGGAGGAGGAGGAGGACGAGGACGAGGAGGAGGAGGAGGAGGAGGAGGAGGAGGTCGAGGTCGAGGAGGAGGAGGAGGAGGAGGAGGATCCCCTCCCCCTCCAACTTCTGGTGGTGGTGGTGGAAGACAAGCCCATCATCCCCCCCCCCTCCGCCGCCTTTTCAAACAGTGCAAGGCCGGCAGGGCGTGCAGGTGAGTCCCGACTCGCGCGAGCTCCACATTTCCACTCGGGCCTCGCGACGCCCCCCTGAACCCCACCACGCAAGTATGTATGTAAGCGTGCCAGATTCTCAGGGAAAACTGCCTCCAGGGGGCATGCGCCGGCGGCCCCAGCGGCGGGGACATCGAGGTCTTCGGGTGCAGCGCTAAGGGGGGAACAGGCTTACCTCGAGATCTGGTCACTGCAGTTGCTCTGCAGCGGGCGTGTTCGCCCCGTTTCGGGGGCCCAGGGCCATCACAGATCGATCCGGCTCGGAAAGTGCAGCAGGCAGCTGGGGTCTGAGGCTAGGGTCTTGATGTTTCGCGATGTTTCAATGTTTCGCGACGTCGGATCTCAGGATAATTCGGGGGGACGCATCGACCCCCAATCGCCCAGTGATCACCAAATGGGCGCCCGATAGCCCACCCCGCCCAGGACCGTGCAGAGTCGTCATCGGGGGCACATCGCCGACGCTTCGGCGATGTGTCGCCGATCTCGGGTCGTCGTGCCCGCCCTTGCGCCAGTCTCACCGCTGGGCGTTGCCCATCAGGTCTGGATCTGCCTGGACTTCGAGTGGACGTGCGACGACAACGTGGCCCCCGGGGAGGTCCGCCGGCTCCCGCCATCCCGATGGGGGCTCTGGGTGCGGGGTTCGACGATCGAGGATGAGGAGGAGAAGGAGGGGGAGGGAGGAGGAGGAGGAGGAGGAGGAGGAGGAGGAGGAGGAGGAGGAGGAGGAGGAGGAGGAGGAGGAGGAGGAGGAGGAGGAGGGAGGAGGAGGAGGAAAGAGGAGGAGGAGGAGGAGGAGGAGGAGGAGGAGGAGGAGGAGGAGGAGGAGGAGAGGAGGAGAGGAGGAGGAGGAGGAGGAGGAGGAGGAGGAGGAGGAGGAGGAGGAGGAGGAGGAGGGAGGAGGAGGAGGAGGAGGAGGAGGGGAGGAGGAGGAGGAGGAGGAGGAGGAGGAGGAGGGAGGAGAGGAGGAGGAGGGAGGAGGAGGGGTCTGGTGCCCTGTCGGCCTGAGGGCCTCTCTCTCGTGGCCACGGCCCGACATCCGCCTGGAAGGCCTGGCCAGAGCACACCCTGCAGGCCAGGTCCTGGGAGGCCGAGGTGTGCCACCGGAGCCAGGCACCCGGCTGCTCGAGCAGCAGTCGGAGGAGGAGGTCACCACTATACTAGGGGGGCCTCCACCTCCTCCTCCTTCCCCTCCTCCTCCTCCTCATCCTCCTCCTCCTCCTCCTCCTCCTCCCTCCCTCCTCCTCCTCCTCCTCCTCCTCCTCCTCCTCCTCCTCGAGGGCCAGTGTTTCCATGTTCTGAGGTTTTTGAAGCCAGGCCGCGGTGCCCAGGAGCATCCAAAGCAACTTGAGATGACAAGCTGGCCCCGGGGAAGGGTTCGAGAGGTCATCGGGGCCATTGTCTCGAACACATCGAGCCGCTGGGTGTATGAGTCCGTTTCCCCCTCTGGGTACTTTTCCTCCTACCCCCTGGCCAGGTCCGGAGAGTGCACTCGGACGACGTCGAGATTATTGAGTTCTCGTACGCCATCTACGACGGAAAGAGAGGCGTGCTTGCGTGTGAGGGGCAGCACTACTGCAAAAATGAGCGGACCCCCATCACGGAGTTCTGCACAGACCTGACCGGAATCTCGGACGAGACGCTGAAGGAGGGCCGACCACGTTTTGCCTTTTTCAAGGGTTTCAGTGAGCGGGTAAATATCTCGTCCCCATCGTCCTTCTCATCGTCCCTCTTCTTCCCTTCTCCCCCGTTTCCCTCCCCTCTCTCCCCCCCTTCTCCTTCTCATTCACCCCGCTTGCCAGAGCCCTTGGGGCAGCATACTGTTACTCAAACGAGGGAGAAGGAAAAAGAGGAGGGATGAGGAGATCTAGCATCGGGTAGGCATTGTCTGCGTGCGCAAGGTTCCGATCATAATCGTAGCGCCAGTGGCAAGTGCACGGGCACGCGCATGGGGCTACCTAGCAACAGGACTGTGCCTGCGCTTCCAAGAAGGCTGCCTATGGTTGAGCGAAGTCAATCCCACATCCGCTGCAATGATTAGATCACCATTGACACCCCAATGTCTTCAAAGCCTTAGCTCTCGCGGTGGGTGAAGCACGCTTAGCGTGTGCCAGCGGTTCGCGGGCGACCCGAGACTGGCCTGCCAGCGCCACGACCCGTGGATCGCCCACACGCGGACCAGATAACGCAAGCTACAGATCGGTGGCGAGCGATGAGGAGAAGTGAGTAGGAGGAGGCCTTTCCAGAAGGCTCGGCAGTCCTCCTGCGTTCTGAAAGGCTGTCTAAGCCTTCCCCACAGAAAACTTCGAAGGCGCGAGGGTTTCTTGGAAGCCCCGCCGCCTTCTGAGAAGGCCTTTCCCTTCTCACTTCCCTCCCGCGCTCGCCGCCGAACATACCATGTGATGGCCGATCCCACATCCCAGACTGAAGAGCAACAGCAGCAGCTGCAGCAGCAGCAGGCCAGCCAGCGGCGCACGGGGGCACCGGCGAGAGAGGCGGCCTCCCAGGCACTCGAGATAACAGCTGGTGGTAACACGGGAAGGGCACTCGGGATGTGTGTGTGTGTGTGTGCGCGCGTGTGTGTGTGTGTGCCTGTGTGTGTGTCTGTGTGTGTGTGTGTCTGTGTGTGTCTGTGTGTGTCTGTGTGTGTCTGTGTCTGTGTCTGTGTCTGTGTCTGTGTCTGTGTCTGTGTCTGTGTCTGTGTGCGTGCGTACGTGCGTGCGTTCGTGCGTGCGTGTGTGTGTGTGTGTGTGTGTTTGTGTGTGCGTGCGGGTGTGTGTGTGTGTGTGTGTGTTTGTGTTTGTGTGAGTGTTTGTGCTTGTGTTTGTGCTTGTGTTTGTGTGTGTGTGTGTGTTTGTGTTTGTTGTTGTGTCTGTGTGTATCAGAAGTCGATTTCCTGGCGTTCCTCGGTACCCTCGAGGGTTTCCACCTTAAGCTGGTGGCCTGCTGCTTGGACGCAGCCCGCATGTTCTCCCTCGGCACTCCCGCGCCGGCCTTCACGGTCTGAGCTGGCCCTTGCTTCCCTTTTTTCTCAACCATCCTGTTGTGTTGGGATCTCGTTATGAAGAGAGAACGCCCCGCGGTCCTTCCTTGCTCCTCCCCCCTTCCTCCCATCATAATCGTCATCGCCATCGTCACCCCCGTTTCGGCACACCCGTCACACGTTGCGTGACCCCACAGTGAATTCCACCAAGGGCCCCAGTGGCGCAGCCCGCATGTGGGCGACCTTTTTTCTCGGCACACCCTCACACGCTTCATGGCCTAAAAAGGACTTCCACCAAGGGCCCCAGTGGCGCATCCCGCATGCGGGCGACCCTCCCATTTCGGTACAAGCCTCAAACACACATCGTGGCCCCATAGGCAGCTCCACCAAAGGTCGCAGTGGCGCAGCCCGCATGTGGGCGACCTTCCCCTTTCGGCACACGCCTCACACGTTTCGCACCGATTTCGGCACACCCCTCACACGGTTCATTGCCCCATAGGGAACTCTTCCGAAACCGCGAGTGCAACCGCCCCAATACGTCCCCCACACACCCGTTTCGGCACATCCCTCACACGTTTCGTGGCCCCACCACCGAAGGCCCGAATGCCACCGCACCCATGCCCCCCCCGCCCATTTCGGCACACCCTTCACACGTGTCGTGGCCCCATACGGAGCTCCACCGAAGACGTATGTACAATTGCGGTTCTCACAACTGCAGATGGCTTGGTCCTTCGCCAGGCTAATTAGTTTTCTCGTTCGCTTTCGTGCCTCAGCTCGCCTCCGGTGCATCCCACCGATCGTTCTGACTGGCGCCTGACCGTTTTGCACCACCTGGCGCCCGCGTGTTTAAGAAGTGTGTAAAAAGCGACCAGAGGTTGGGGCTGCGACCGAAGTGAAACGGAGCCTTCCGTACAAAACAGCCGCGATTCGGTTTCGGTTCGTGTCGTGCGCGGCGGGCGTGCGGGCGAGGCGAAGTTGCGGGAGTTCCCGCGCTAGCTGGGCCCAGGTCGCGCCGGAATGAGTCGCTACCCTTGGCTCAGCGGCGTTCCAGGGTTGTCCCGCGGTCGTCCCGTGGTCGCCAGGGGCGTCCCACTGGTTCTCTCGTGGTTGTTTTGTGTGGGTGTCCCGTGGTTGTCTTCTGTTCGTCTTCTGGTTGTTCCGAGGGTTGCCCGAACGGTTGTCCCGACGGTTGCCCCGATGGTTTCCCCAATGGTTGTTCCGAACGCTGCTGGGGTTGAGCTGGTCGGCTGCTCGCTCGGTGGCTGGATGGGCTGGGATGCCGACAAGGCTTAGGACAAACTCGCACTGTCCAAGATCAGGGTGATGACTGGGGGGGGGCGGGTGTCACGGCCTGGGCCATGATATATCCCCGGATTCCATTGCCCCCCCTTCTTATTTCAACGACCCTTGGCCCCCCCTTGGGCCGCGCACGCGCTTTGGACATGATTTGCGAACCCCGCCAGTGCTCGATCGCTGGCGCCGCCCAGGGTTCAACTCTCCCCTCCCGGACACTTGCCTCGCCGCGAGGGGGATTTCCCTCCTCGCTCCTCCTCCCTCCTCCCTCCTTTCTCGTCCCCCTCCATCCTCGCTCCTCCTCCTCGCTCTCCCTCGTTCTTCCACTGACGATTCGGGGACGCCCCCCATCTTGGGGCTTTCCCCTCTTGGACGCCCCTCTTGGACGCTTCCGAGCGGGGAGCTCAGGGGCAGCACCCAGCGGGCGCAAGCAGGACGCTGGCACGCTCGCGGATGCGCTGCGGGCGCTGGAGCGCGCGTTGCAAGCGCCAGAGCTGGCTGGGAGGCCCCGGGCCGTTCAATCGCAAGGGACAGTGGTATAAGGCATTTCTTTCATGAATCCTTGGGGATAATGAAGGGGGATTTGCCCAAGGGGGGAGAAATACTCGTTATAACTACACTGCACGTCGCTAGGTCCGGCAAGGAGCCGAAAGGCTCGGCCACGGAATTCTTTGTATAGACGCTCCAGCGACCCATGGGAAGCTGGGGCGTCTGACTTGTCCTGCAAACGTGTGGGGCGAAACACAGAGTCCGCAACTGTATCGCTCAAGCCTTTTGCCTCCGGGAGCACCTGAAGCGCATGCGCCCTCCTCGTGTCCCACATCCCTGCCTGGCTGCTGGTCTGCGCCTGTACGCTAGACGCGGTCTCGCCTGGGCTGGTTCGCAGTGGGGGCAACGGAGGTCCACCCGACGGCCCTCTGTCTACGCATTCACGCGAGGGCGTCTGTGAAGGGGAGGCCAAGCTCGCGGCTGCTTCCTCCAACAACCTCCCTCAGTGCCGCAGGGAGGTGTCTCAGCTGCACGAGGACAGCGCCGATCTCTCACGACATTTGCATCGGTTGCTGGCAGAACAGGCGCAGCACGCCCTGACCTCCGACGGCTTCTTTCTGTACGCCATCGGACCGGTCGTGACCACCATTGCGTCCCAGGCCCTGAGTATCTGTGCGCTGTGCCGTCGCAGACATGTTCACCCACGTATCTAACGAGTGCCCCGACAGGCGATCCTCGACCAAGGGGAACGACGCCGAGGTAGGGGTGTTATTCAATGAGCTGCTGCCAGGGCGCGTCATCACGGTGCACTACAGTAGTGACTACGGCATCTGGCACGAGAAGGTCGTGCTTTGGCCCGCCGATTGCCAGCGGCCCCCGACGCGACGGACGATCCTCACACTCGACGGGGACATCTACGACGAAGAACTCGCGAGTGGGCCCGACGGCGATGACGTTCGGCGCCCCCCTTGTGCGGCAGCGCCCGCCGGGACGGATCTATCGTTTTCGAACGTACCCGACGGAATTCGAGCTGATGAGCATGGTGCGTGACGCGCGTCGTCATGCCCACGATGTTGGCCTCGACGTTGACGAGCCGCCGTGCTTCACGCGGGGGGCCGAGTCCCTGGGCGGCGCCGTCACTGTGAATTTCGGCGAGGTGCTTGGTGTCCGTCTAGTGTCGTCTTGGCCACAAGGCGGCGGCTGTGGCGCCAGCGGCGGCTGTGACGCCGTTGCCGTCGCCCGCGGAGCTTTTGCCTGGCCTCGAGGCGGACGCGGAGGGTCCCGACGCTGCTAACATCAGCGGCACCGACACCGTGCCCCGCGGTGGTGCCGGCGCCAGGAGGCTGAGCGCTTCAGAGGCGCCCCCGCTGGGCATGGTTTGGGTCATCACCAAAACCGTGCCCCCCGAGTGCCAGCATGGTGACGAGGTGACGCCAGCCGCGGGTGACTTGATCTGGGGTGAGAGCAGTCTTCGCAGCAAGGCTTGTGTTTTCATCGCGCCGATCGAGACGTTGCCCACGCCAGTCACGGATGCCGTCCGCGGCGAGGACGGCGACGACGACGCGCGGCTGCTGAGTGCTCTCACACGGAACCGAGAGGGACGGCGCCTCCGAGATTTTCACGACGCAGTCGACCAGATGCGCCAGGAGGTGCTGGGCGTTTTCAGGCTAGCGGCTAGCAGGGGGGCGATAACACAAGCGGCTGCGCGACTCCATTCTCGAGCACGGGGGCACCCCCGATGGCCGACGCACCAGGTGGATGC